TAAAAGCCCCCTTTTTTTATTTTCCCCTCTGGGTCCTCGCACACCCCACTGTGGAAACCTTTTTTTCTTGCTTTGCAATATAAGAAAGACATTACAATACAATTCAAGACAAGATGGTAAGGAGGGCCATGCCCGTGAGGGCTTACAATCTAAAAAGATTTAGCGCTTTGGTCAGCTTTGTTGTTGCCTGTGTCCCCATTGGAAGATTTGCCCCCACTTCCTGTCTATTTGAGGGGTGTCAGACAGAACAGGAAGGAAATGTTTCCTGTTATAGATTAAAATGGTTTGTCACGGGAACCTCTGTGCTGTCCCTGGTCTAGTGGGACATTTCACTGGACTTGGGGGGCATGGGACAATTTGTAAAATGGGGGGATTGTCCTGCAGAAAGTTAGACACTTGGTGACTGTGCAGGGAATGGGAAGAAATCTCCTTAAATGGTTAGTTCACCCTTTTCACAAAAAATGAAAGGTGAACTAACTTACTACATCCTTCTCCCCCATCCAGTCCCTGCTGCCCATCATTTGTAATGATGACCCTTGCCTGCCACCCTCGCCTACCGGTATGGATGCCACCTGTCCCAGATTCACCTGGACAGTCCGGGTTTTGAGTCCCGTATGTGCTGTGTCTGGGTTTCAGGCCAGCTGAAACCCAGACACAGCACATACAGGACTCAAAACATGGACTGTCCTGATGAATCCGGGACAGGTGGCAACCCTACCTAACGGTCCAGGAACTTGATAACTCTACTACAAAGCCCTGGCTGCAATGAGGAGCAGTGATTGGTAGGTGTGGCCACATGACCGCACTGACCAATGAGAATCTCTTCAAGGTCCTGGAATGCCGGTCCTGAATAAAGAAGGCTCAGAAGAAATACTAATTGGTCAGCACGCTCACCCTTCCCCAAAATTAAACTGACTGGAGTTGCGCTGCGACATTTTTGACAGACTTACATATAAAAAAAGAGCATTAATAATAAAAATTCCTCGTTGCTCATAGAAACCAACCAGAATCCTCTTTTAATTTTCAACTCTGCATGGCAGAAATGTTAGTTGGGAGCTGATTAGTTGCTTTGGACATTAAAGATGGCCATACACTGGTCGAATTTTGACCAAGTCCTGCTGACTCAACTGAAATTCTAGCATGATGTGACCCGCGTCGGAACCCCCATGTTCAACAAAAATAATTTTTTCAATCGACTTCTGTCGGTCTGAAAATTCTCGCCGGCCAATCAGCTACAGTCATTGTTTGAGTATTCTGACAACCAACTGTGTTGCCCATAGCAACCAACCAAACCCTCTTGCTTTTGCAAGAAAATGAAAGGTAGAAGCTGGTTGCTATGGGCAATGTAGTTCCACTAGACACTCTCATGTGGGAAATGCGTTGGACGGCATCTGTGGAATGCCACAAGTTTTGCCAGGGAAAGCCGCAGGGACTTTTTCTATGAATTAAGAAACCACTAAAGGAGATAATTTACTAAAGTGTGTTGTTGATCACGCGATTACCACAGCCGTGCGTGCCAAGTCAGAGAATTATCTGAGCCGAAGATGGACACGGACACTTCAGAACAGCTGCGTGGCTTCCCTAACAGGACGCCAGCATGGAAAGTGCACGGTCATTTGGCCTGGCTTCATGTAGGCGGCCATCTTGTTACGTTATAGTACGTGTTGTTGGAGAGCTGAATAGCTTTCATTAGTTATAAGATAGTGATTAGTGATTGAATGTAATATTTATTAAATCCCATCTCTGGGTTACTGCCAACATTCCTCCATCCCTCTCTAACTGATCGCTGGAGCAGAAAAAAGAAACCCCCTAATCTAAATGCCCATGTTATGTATCTAAAGGCCTGGTCACATGATCGTCCTGTACCGCATCTTCCCTCTCCCTTTGTTTACATCTGGTGGGGTCCTTCGTTCGGTGTCCATGTCACTGCCTGTGTCGTCTCAGGATCCAGAAGAATGACATCAGCGTGACGTCAGGGGGAGGTAGGGGACTGGGGGTTTCGGACACATCTGCAGCGCTGGATTTGTGATCCCCCGCACACCATTTCACCAAAAAAGCACCCAAACTGAAGCTGATGTACATACACTGGGGCTGACCTGAGGTCTTATGTACATTCAGTGAGGATGATCTGAGGTCTAATGTACATTCAGGTGCTTATCTGAGGTCTGATGTACATTCATTGGGGCAGATCTGAGGTCTGATGTACTTTTCATTGGGGCTGATCTGAGGTCTTATGTACATTCAGTGAGGATGATCTGAGGTCTGATGTACATTCAGGTGCTGATCTGAGCTCTGATGTACATTTATTGGGGCTGATCTGAGGTCTGATGTAGATTCATTGGGGCTGATCTGAGGTCTAATGTACATTCCGGGGCTGATCTGAGGTCCGAAGTACATTCATTGGGGCCCATCTGAGCTCTGATGTACATTCATTGAGGATGATCTGAGGTCTGATGTAGATTCATTGGGGCTGATCTGAGGTCCGAAGTACATTCATTGGGGCCGATCTGAGCTCTGATGTAGATTCATTGGAGCCGATCTGAGGTCTGATGTACATTTATTGAGGATGATCTCAGGTCTGATGTACATTTATTGAGGATGATCTGAGGTCCGATGTACATTTATTGGGGCAGGTCTGAGGTCTGATGTACATTCATAGGGGCTGACCTGAGGTGTGCGTTGAAGCACATCTGGAAACGCAATTTAAATTGCTCAAGTGTGCATGGGCGGGCTAAATGATGCTAGCTCTAAGGTAGTCATCCTGAACCTTAGTCATGTTTATGGTTTTTGCACTTCACTGGCTGTGTGCTTGTTCCAGGTCTTAGACACACCAGCAACAGGATGACCCCGCAGCCTGCACCTTTAAAAAACAATCTAGTAATGGCAGCTCCCATTTTTCTCTCCCCGCAGGTTTACTTTAAGCTGGTCTTGTGTTTGTCTCCCAAGTTGTATTTTGGCATGTCGGAGTGTTGGGTTTTTGGCTGACAGCTGTGAGTGCAGCCCATTAGCTTGCTGTGGACACAGACTGTGTTTACTCATTCCTTGCTTTATAGCAGATGAGCTGCAGGGGATATTTTTGTACTTAACCCTTGCAGCTCCTTTGCATGGGGCTCAGATCGAGAAAACTGGCACCACCATAGGGCCACTGGGAAATGAGTGGACTGGCATGCTGTAGACTGGTCCCTTATGTAGCCAAAAATAATATCTATCAGTCCATTATCCTATCATTGTTGCTTCCAGCTCTGTAGCCTTATAATTGCTCCCTTACAGCAGGGGTGTTGAATTAAAATTCAAGGAGGTCCAATCAGTTAAATTTTCTTCCAGAAGAGGTCCGAATCTCATGTTCAGATCTAACAGAGTACCCCCTGACATTAGTTGTCTGCATAAGGGCCCAATCACACCAATTGCGGTGCGTTACATAGCGGCAGCTGCTGGAACACAAAGCAATCACTCACAAAACTTCACCCTTCATTCTGGGGCGGTATG